CATCAAGCTTTGGGGACAAAAATACGGCAAAGATTTAGAGACGATAAACAATAGTATTTTCTGTTGATACCATAGTTTAAGTGTAGTTTAAGTGACGATATTCCCAAAATAAAGCTACATTCCTCTAAACAGAAATAATTAACAAAGTAAATTAATAATTTTAGATTTTTTTTTCATATAGAGCAGGAAGGACGAATTTTTACATGATGGATTGAGTAAAAAAAATATATTAACACGTTTGCATTTAAGGTTGTGATAATTATAAGTATAAATTAAAGAAATAATCCAATTTGATAATCCAATTCATAGATTGTTTTTATCACCATAATAACGGTCATTACAATCATTATCATTATATCTTCATTATCATCATCATTTACTATTACTATTATCAATAGTAGTATTATACTATCATCATTATTATTATTATTATTATATTATTATTATTATTATTATTATATATTATATTATTATTATTATTATTATTATTATTGGTATTATTATTATCACTATCATTATAATCATTATTATTATCACAATTATCATTATCATTATCAATGTTATCATCATTACCGTATTTATCATCATCATTATTATAATCTTAACTATCATTACCACTTATAAAATCATAAATACTATTATTGGCATAATCATCATTGCCATTATCACTATCATTCATTATCATTATGATTTTCATCATCATAATCATTATCATCATTATAACAATATAGTATGTGTAATAATGACAGTGATAAAACCCAACATAACCTTCCTGAGTAGTAAGCCGCGCGCATGCGGAGCTGATGGGCCAGGGAATATCAGCCGCCAAGCCGGGCATTCCCCTTGCGGCCTTATAGGGCCCAGGCCCACCACCGGGCCGCGTGTGCGATGGGCTGTTTACCGCCAAATGAGTTGTCGCCTATTGCGCGTGATCTCTCTCTATTATCATTGTAAACTAACCTAAACGAAAAACTATTATTTAGTCTAATTCTTTAAATAACCAACTAATTTGTCCCTAATTATTCTAAAAACTATAAAAAAACACTAATTATCACACCATATACATTCTCTAATTAATATGCTCTTAGTCATACAATTTGTGTCAAATGATCATTTCAAATATTTTTTTATCCATGACTAATTATCAATCCATATGCATTCACTATCATTTTCATAATCATACAACTTATCTCAAATAATCATTTTAAATTCATTTTTTGCTAAATATTCGTTTCCCTAATAATAATCATTGTCATAATCATTTTTTTCAGAGATTCCATCGAGAAAGATGAGGTTTTGGTAACAGATTTACCTTAGGAATTACAGTCATATGAAAACATTATGCTGACAATATTATAAGCATTTACCAGTCACCAGTCATATGAAATACATTTGCTGGCAAATATATAAGCAGTATGACATGGTAGGGTTATATTTTCCTTTTTTTTTCTTTTTTACTGCCGTCTGTATGGCCACGGTGGTTGTGTACATCTTTTTGTCATATTTTCCGTGGAGTTGCTTGCAGTTTCGGTCCGTTTTCTGTGGGCATTTCCCTTTGTGTTGGCTTGTGTGTTGTGTGTGTGTGGTGTTGTGTGTGGTGTGCGTGCGTGCTTCGTTCGTTCTGGTTTTCGCTCCCGCGATGCGTGCGTGGTGTGCTGCCGCGTCTCTGTTTGTTGTTGTGTGTCGTGTGGGTGTGTGTGTGTGGTGTGTTGTGTGTGTGGGTGTGTGTTGTGTGTGTTGTGGTCGTGTGTGTGCAGTGCGTGCGGTGCCGTGCGTGTCTGTTTGGGCGCGTGCGTGGCGTGGCGTGCTGTGGGTTGTGGCGCGCGCGTGCGTTGTTGTGTGTGGTGTGTGTGTGGTGTGTGGTGTGTGTGTGGTTGTTGCGTGTGTGCGGTTTGTGTGTGTGTTACACTCAAGGCTTTTTTTTTCCCATTATCTGCGGATTTTCTTGCATTTTTCAATCCTTGCGTGTTTTTTCTTTTGTCTGTGTGTCAAGGCCTAATTCCGTGGGCATTTTCCGTTTCCTGATGGGTATTTCGCCTGTGATTTTCTTGCGACTCTAAATCCTGTTTTCTTATTTCCTGTGGATTTTCTTGCACTCTTAAGTATCCTAGCCTGCCGGATTTTTTTGCACTCAATGACCGTTCCTTGTGGACATTTCCTGTGGATTTCTTCTGCACGTCGAGGATGGAGGCTCGTTTTTCTTTAAATGTCCTAATATTCTGTGATTTCTTGCATCAATGATCCGTTTCCTGTGATATTTCCTGTGGATTTTTTTGCACTCAATGACCGTTTCCTGTGGACATTTCCCCCATAGAGTAATCGAGGTAGTCACTCCATACGAATAAACATTATCTTCCTTATAACTACCTTGGTTATCTCAAAGGGGGAAACGCCCACAGAGAAAAACGCACCGTGTGTCAACAAGATTTTTTACTGGGAAATACAGAAAAAAAATTAAAACAAAAGAAAATCTTCAATAACCATAGAAATACACAGAAAA